GCAGACAAATTAGCAAGTAATAAGGGCCATAAAAATGGCCTGGCAAAAATTTTTTTAAATGGAAATAAAATAGTAAAAAAAAAAAACAACAAAAAAAAAAAACAGTAAAAACTCAACAAATGCACTAAACATAAATTGGTCCCAATTGAGGAAAGCTGGTGATCTGAAAGATTTACATGAATTACACAACCCAGAGAGACAAGAACTTTAAAACATGAAAAAGAATTAATAGATGCAGAGGGATACACTGAGAAGTTCTAACATAGATCCAAACTGAAATCCCAGAAGGAATAATAAAGAGTTGAAGAAAGGCTATATCTGAATGGATACCCGCTATGACATTTCCAGAATAAAAAAGACCTGAACCCACAGAGGTACAGGTAGCACAACATAGGTCAAGCAAGGGGAAAAAATGGAAATCCACAATTCGTTTGTAATGAAACTGCAAAACAACAAAAGATCTGAAAGCCACCCAAAGAGAAAAGGTAGATCATCCACAAAGAAAGACAAAATGAGAGCTGACTTCTCGATAGCAACAATAAAACTCAAAGACAGTAGGAAATATCATCAAAATGCTGAGAGAAAATAACTCCCACGCTGAATCATGTGTATCCAGCAACACTATCTTTCAAGTAGGAAAAAAGAATATTACAGACACAGAAGATCTCAACAACACAATTAACTCTTAAATAAATGGGAATTTATTGAGCCTTGACATTCTACTCACACAAAACTGGAAACTTTATAAAATTTAAATATGTACTCTTGATATGTAACCTTAACACCTGTACCCCCATAATACACTAAAATAAAAAATAAAAAAATATGTACAAGATGATAAAACAAGTCTAAATATTTAAACAATGAACATCAAATATCAAATGAACCACAGTCTCTAACCACAAAGCAAAATTATTTTCTGAACAAACCAAAAGAGGTGTTTAAAATTTTAAATCCCTGGATGATTACTTTCATTTTTGACAACAAGGTGAACTGAATGTCCTGACTAATCTGCTCACTGAAAGCAACTAAAACTGCTGAACAAAATATTTTTAAAAAATCTTCTCAAATGCTTCCATGAGCTGAGAAACAAAACAAAACAAAACAAAGCCTAAACATACTCAGGGCAATGACAAGAATAAAGAGGGCTACCAGATAACTAGAGTCAGCTTATACCTTCAGGGTGGAACGGAAAAATAAACACATATGATTTAAAACATGGCAACCAGCAAATAAAAGTAAGCAAAGGAGTGATAAACTTCAGGATGATGTCTGCCTGAGTGGAGTGAAAGGGCCAGGGTGGGAGTGGAGCACAGGACATGGGACAGGGAAGTATCAGGATGTTCTTTTCATCTGAGCACTAGGATCATGGATAGTTGTTTTACTATTAATTTCACAACTTGCCAAAGAATACATGTATTAGATGCTACAGAATCTAAACAATTAAAAAGAATCAGTATCAACAAATTCTGGGACCCTTATAATATGATGAATTTATCTCAGAATCCAGTGAAAATCTCCATATACAAGTTCTTACATAATATCTCAGCTGCATTCTCAGTTAAATATGCTTTGGCTATAAAAAGCTGAAGTGCCCAATTATTTCTTTATATTCTCCCCCTTTATTTGTGTGTGTGTTTAAATAGCAGAAAATTCTAGATTCCTAACTAATTTTTCAACTTTGGAATTAAATTCTTTCCAAAGTTGGATATTGCCTGTGTAGGACAATTCATCAGTCGCCTGTAATAGTTCTGGAATTTCCAAGCATGTACAGAACAGAATCTGCATTGAGACTTTACCAAGGGAAGTCAAACATATAATTACTTGCCAAATCAGCAATGAAAAAAAAATCATATATATTCAAAACTTTATTGCCAGATCAGGGTAAAATAAAAATATATACATTTTTTCATACAAATGGAATTATACATGTTTTATACATGGCTTGTTTAAAACAGCATTTAATGTAATACTTTCCACATCCATGAATGGGTATGCCTATTTATGACAGATGCATAAATTTAAAACTCAGCTGAATTTAATGAACCTCTTGACAGACATCTGTAATGTCTCCCATTTCTTTGTTACTGTAATATGCCTATGAGCATCCTTGCAGGTATATACACATGTGTAAACCTTGTTATTTCTTTACAATAAATTCTTAGAAGTAGAATTATTAGATCAAATCATATGAAATTGGCAACATTCAACTGTTTTTTCCTCACAAAAATGGCAATGTCAATAGGGCCACCTAAGAGCTCTGGAGGATGTGAACATATTTAAGGATCTTAGTACACTTGCCAATTCACTCGTTCTGACAAATCGCAGTACCTTCCTTCCCTCTCCCCTCCCCTTTGTGGCTTTAGCACTCCCCCTCTACCATCCACCATTCAGTGTCACATGGGCATGAACAAGCAATGATGTGGGACATGTCCATGACTACACTTTCTTATAAAAATGCATATACTTGATAAACTATTATAAAAGCATATATAAAACAAAAGTGATGAGAATAGAGGTAACTTAAGTGATGTTTTAGGATATTTTCTGGACTTTCTAAAAATGTGACATATATTTGACAGTTTTTTAAAAATTAAAAAGGACAGGGTGCAAGAAGAGGAAACTGTAGAAATGAATGATAGCAGAAGGTGGGGAGGAAGAACTGAAGGGTCATATAGTGAGCACAGAGGAAGGAAAAAGGGAAGTTGTGTACCAACTCATGATGTGCAGCTCATATTCATGTCTTGATATGCAAATGGTAAGTGCTGAATCCTCATAAGCCTGGTACAGTCTATAGACTGAAATTTTAAAAAATCACTGGGCAATTTTATGGTAGAAAATTTTATATATTCAGTGCATATTCTTTCAAGAAAAATTCCATCATTATAATTCACTTTCTCCTGTGATTTATAGATGTTACTCAACGGAATTACATAGACTGTACAATAAGATACATCCTATCAGCAAAAGAAAATCTGGGAAACACTGGTATGTGGAGTACTAACTTTTAATCATATAGGTAGAAGAGCAAGGTCTTCCAACAAAGAAAAACTAGGACAACCTAGGAACAACCTGTGAACAAGAAGCAAAGGAATAAAAACGTCACCAACTTTTAGGTTAGACTAGAAATTATAAAAAGGAATAACTATGAGCTATTTAGGCCTATATTATGCAGTCTGAAAATTGATGTCACTAATGTGGCCATATACTCCCTCAGTGGGTGGATTTTTTCCAAAGAAATAATACCAATAACGATCTAGATATCTACAAGAGAGGAAAATGCCGTATAAACATATCAATTATTTAAACTCATGTTACCTCCTTCACCAAAATACAAAGCTCAATATATTGCTAAAGGGAAAGATGTATTAATACATATAAGAACCAGCTTGCAAAATGGAAATCATTTTGCAGTATGAGCAGGCCTCCAGCAACCTCAGCTGGAATCTAAACATGCCTTCTCTCTTTCGATTTTGACAAACTTAACTTCCACTTTTATCCAACACTGTATTATTGCAAACCTTCAAACCTTTCCACAAATCCCCTACCTAACACCTTATATTTCCTTTATGATTTCTACCTCACAGACACAAACAAAAGAGACATTTTCCCCCGAATGCTGGAAACTTCCTTAGTTTCGTGCTTTCTCAGCTTGAATCTTATGAGAACATCTACTGTTATCTCAAACAGAGAAATAAAACAACTTACCTTCTTAACCCCTACTTATGCATCTAATCCATCATTGCTCTTTCCTGGCACTAAGCCTTCGATTTAAAAGACAAGCCTTTTTCTTCTTTATTTTCACATTCCATTTTAGTTCAATCTTTGGGTCCTATCAAATCCATCCACTAAAGTTGCTTAATATTATATTCTTATACTTTTATGTCTTTCTAATTTCTTGCCAGACTGGTTGAAGAGTCTCTGAATATGCTTGGAGCCTTTTAAAAATCCAATCTCTTATCTCATCAGAGTGGTCTCATTAAAAAAAAAAAAAAAAATTCTGATGGAGGCATGCACTAATTAAATTCTATAAACGGTTCCCCAATAATCTATAGGAGAAAACTCAAACTCTTCTATTTACATGATGTGGTCCCTATTTCTCTCATTAGCTTCTTATCAAACCATTTTAGCTCAGATTTAAACGAACCATGTTTTTTTTCTCTCCCCTCCATGTTCCTGTCTAGAACACACGACTCTTCCTATCTGCAAAGTTGGAAACTCCTCAAATGACACTTTCCAGGGGAGTCCCCTGGATTCCAAACCTACCCGGGGGGTTAACAGACACTTCCGTGCACAGTCATATCATCTGTGCTTAGTAACAGCATAGGATCAAACACAAAGTAATTGTTTACAAGAATCCTCCACTAGACAGAAGAATTTAAAGGTGTGGATTATGCCATTAATTTCTGCATTACTGGTTCACAGTAGATATTTAATTAATTTGATTAATTTTTACTAAAACAAAAAATTATCAAGTACATATGATGGCAAAATTATATGTACAAAAGTCTTTTTGGTATTCATTAGCCTTTTTTGGATATTTGCTAATACTAACAAGTAAAATTTACTGGTTATAAAACTGTGTTAGTTCATTTACGCGACATGTATTTATTGCCTAATTAATGTTTTGTAAAAAGCAAAGCTAAAATTTAACTTTAACTTTGTTATGCAAATTGCTATCAAGATTATACAGGTATAACTGGCTCTGACAAAATTTTCTACGTATTACAAATTTGTTGATAATCATATTTGAATTAGAGATAGAGAAATGGTTGTGGACTCCACACAAAAGTATCCTTTAAGATTTGTTCAAGTGTACAAAAGTTCAAAAAATGTCAACAATTCATAATTTCTCACTGGTTAAAAGATTCTCACTTCCATACAGAGACAACTTTATATTCTCCCAAGTGTTAGGTTTAATCTAATTCTAAAATTTTAAAAATGTAATGAATAAGATTCAAAGAAACAAACAAAAAGTATATTAAAGCACTCTCCTGTACCTGTTGATAGAAGAAATTCAAAGTTGGCTTGTCTTCTGTAAACTGGTTTAGAAATCCTTTTGGCAAATAACGAATCCTCAATTCGTATCTAAAAAATAATTCACAAAGTAGAACAATTAAAAATGTCATTTTCTCAATTCATACCCTACAATTATAGTATTATTGTGAATATGGTATTGCTAATTAGTTTGAAAAATGATTTTAATCAATTGAACTTTAAACGTTAATTTTTTATTTTTCAGCACAAAAAAGTTCACATATTTTAAGTGTGATATATCTCGGTGACTTCACAAGGAGACAGAGCATGATCAGAAGCCCAGAAGTTCCTCCAACCCCACAGGTCACTCTCTACCACTGTTTAGGGGAAGACTTAAGCTGACTTCTACCACATTCCACTAGCTTCCCTACATCTAAATTTACATCAATAGAATCACATAGCATGTACCCTTATTTGCTTAAAAAGCCAAGCTTTAGAATGGTCAAAACAAACCAACATCATCAGAACGCTCTTTCTCATTCTCTCTCTTTGCGTACATGTGTCTACCCATATGAACACTCTTACATATGTCTTCTGGTAAAAATATGTACACATTTCTGTAGCATATATACCTAGGAGTACAATCACTAGGTCATACGAAATATATATTAGCTTTAGCAGGTATTACCAAACAGCAAGCCAAAGAGGGTTTAACAATTCACATTCCCACCACCAGCAGGGGTGCTCTGGTTACATTGTATCTTTGCCTCTACTTAGTATTTTCTAGTTTTTTCATTTTACTCACTCTGGACATACTATAATAGTAGATAGTGGTTTTAATTGGATTTCCTTGAAGACTAATGAAACAGAGCACTTCTTCATGTTTATTGGCCAGTTGGATATCTTGTTTTGTGAAGTGTCTGTTCAAGCTTTCATTGTTTTTTCCCTACTGAATTGCTGCCTTTCCTTCCCCTACCCCCTACTGATTGTAGGTGTTCCTTTCTATATTCTGGATGAGAGGCTTTTGTTAGACATAGTCAATATCCTCTCCCATTCTGTGGCTTATCTTTCTTAAATGGTATCTTTTTATTATGATTTTTAAAAATTATAATGGTATCTTTTGAGGAAGAAAAGTTTGACATATATATACAAGTTCTGCTGAGATTTTGAAATGTCTATCTTACTAGAATACACAATTAGGTTCCACTTCACTTTTACTCTCAGAAAGAGTTCAGTAACTTACTGTAGATATTCATGCTGGGCATTATTTATAGAAGCCTAATAATAGATTTATTTTGAATTTAGGACTTACCAGGCACTTGACAACTTTATGTGCACTATTTCTCTTAATCAATTTAATAATCAGGTAACTATAAATATTTGCATTTTGCAGACTAAAAAAATGATGCTCAGTAAGAACAAGTAATTAGTTCCAAGGTTACATGTTCAAGATTCAAACAGGTCACAGGAGGCTTTTGGCATTAATGTTACTCCCGTTTTAAAGATAAAGAAACTATAAAGTCCAAAATTAAACACTGGGCAGTCTGGCTCCTGCCTTCTCTTAACATTCAGCATCTTGATGCTGATGATAATATTAACTAATATTTCCTTAGTCTATGACAGACACTGTGATAATAAGCATTTTACACAAAGGCCTTCTTTTTAAGAGGAGCAGAAAGAACATGGACTCTAGATCAAGACTATCTGTGCTTAATTCCTGGCCATGTCACTTGTTCACTGTCAGCCATCTCATCTCTGTGCCAAAACTTCCTCACATAAGGATGACAGGAGAAATAAATGAGTCAGTAAACACAAAACACCAAAACAGTCACTGATGTATCATAATAAATGGCCTCTAGGGTTTCTTATTAGTAATTACTCAACAAATATTTATTTCAGTACCAATCACATCTCAGGCAAAGTTCTTGGGGTTAGAAAAGCATCAGTGAATAAAAAAGGCAAAGTGCTGGCTCTCAAAAAGTTTGTATTTTTGTGGCAGAAGATACACAGCAAATAGAATATATGTGAGGTGGGAGTAAATGTTATAAAAACAAATCAAAGCAAGAGGAATAACTAATGATGAACTATTATTTTATAAAGAATAGTCAACGATAAATCCTCTGGAACAGTGATATTTAAGCAAAGATCTAAATAAAGGAGATGAGGTAGGGAGTTATGCAGTTAAATGCAGGGAAAAGTGTTCCAATCAGATGGAACAGACTACCTAAAAGTACTGGGGCTGGAGGATGCCTGGAAAGGCAAATGCAGCTGGGGCAGATTGAACAAGGGCAGTGAGTAGAAAAGAGGCTTCAGAGAGAGGTGGTATCACATATGTCCCTCAAGTCATGACTGTGGGGCACTTTCTCAGTGAGAAAGGAAGCCACTAGCAGGCTGTGAGAAGAGCAATGACCCTACAGGATTTTCACTTTTCAGGATTATGGTATACCATAAAGAATAGACATTTGGGCCAAAGGAAGAAGTAGAGAGAGTAGGAGGTGACTGCAAAACTGTAGGTGAGAAATGATAACCAGGTTAATATTTACCCTATTTTCATAGATGGAGAAAAAGAGTTATCAGGGGATTAAGCAACCTTCCCAAGATCCCACAGTTATTAAGAGGGAGACATTGGATTCTTCTCCAGCAAGAACATGCATGAATGTCCAAAGGCAAAATGAAACTAACAGAAGGTACCTATGGCTTAAAAACAGTAGGGAACTTAAATAGAGCTTCCTTACATGAAGTTAGGTAAGGCCTTTAGATTACCTTAAGAACTGTGGTCCCTGCTTCAACGCACTACAGAGTCTAACATATTTATTAATACAACCCTACTGAAACTTTCTTCAAGTTCACCTAATTCCAGTCCAATCACCTTACCTCAGTCCTGCAACAACTGACACACACTTTCCACTGCCCTAGAACTGATTCCGCATTCCCCTCTCTTCCATGAAACTCATCATTTCCCCCACATTTTTTTTACTATTTTAAGAGTCTGTCTGGTTGCATCTTGACACATATTTCCACTTTGCACCAGCTCACTACCACTTCTTCCAGGCTTTGGACCCCTTCTTGCAAGGAAAAATATTCAATTCTCAACAAGTTGTGGAAAACTTTTTGCAATTTCATTGCCACTCGCTCTCCAAGCTTCTTCGCTGCTGGCATAAACAAGCTACCCTTAAGATGGCAAAACTGTGTCAACAGTTTAGGCACATACTTTGATTAACTGGACTGCTTCTTGTTTGATATATAATAAACTAAACTTTTGATTAGAAATCAGACATTTCATATTTCATGACCTAATACTAAGGCACAAAGAATCACCTTAATGGAGTAAAATAAAAATAAAAAACTGTCATGAAAATGTTACTATTCCTATAATGTAACAAAATAAATCAATAACCAATAACCTTTTTTTCCTTAAGCACACATAGCTGAAATCTAACAATATACCCCTAAATAATGCTTGGATATCTTCCAAAAATCTTGTAAGAAGTTATAAAATATTGATTGACAAAAAACAAAAACAAAAAAACCATTAAGTTGTGAGACATAGCCAAAGCAAAACTTAAATAACAATAGGTCATATACATTTACCAGAAAACATGAACAAATGAAAACAAGTGAGATAAATGTTCAAATTGAGAAATACTAAATGAAAATAATAAAATATAAGATAACCCTCATAATAGCAACAAACTATAGAATAAGAATTAACATCATAAAGATGACAAAAAAGCTTTGTGTAGAAAAGACATAAGAAGACATCAAAGACAAGGGATGTCATTGGCAAAATCAGGATGAAGGGAAAATTGTAGTATAGGCAACACAGCTTCCTCAACAAACTGTAAGCAAGGGGGATAACTGGATAAAGGTAATTAGAAAAGACTTAGGACACCACAAACATGTAGGACTAATTCAAATAATTTAAGATTTTTGTCATAATATTTATTAAAGTATAAATTTGAATACTGACAGGATATTTCATGAAAGAATAATTTTTGAAGAGTTTATTTTATTTTGAGACAGAGTCTCACTCTGTTGCCTGGACTAGAGTGCCATGGCGTCAGCCTAGTTCACAGCAACCTCAAACTCCTGGGCTCAAGCAATCCTTCTGCCTCAGCCTCAGCCTCCTGAGTAGCTGGGACTACAGGCATGTGCCACCATGCCCCACTAATTCATACACACACACACATATATACACATATATATATATATATATATATATTTTTTTTTTTAGTTGTCTATTTTTTTAGTGGAGACAGTGTCTCACTCTTGCTCAGGCTGGTCTTGAACTTCTGAGCTCAAATGATCCTTCCACCTTGGTTTCCCAGAGTGCTAAGATTAAAGGAGTGAGCCACCGCGCCCAGCCTGAAGATTTTATTTTTTCCCCACAATTTTTGGTGTCATGATGGAAACCAGTCCTTACATTTTAGAGCAGTGGTTTTTAACTTTAGGAGATTTTCTCCCTCCCCATTTCCTCTAGTGGACATCGGGCAGTAACTGGACACACTTTTGCTTGTCACAATGGGGTTAGTGGGCTCCTGTCATTACTGGGTAGAAGCCATACAATGTATAGAACAGCTCACCCACAAGAAAGAATTTTCTGGCCCAAAATGTCAACAGTACTGAAGTTGAGAAACACAGTGTTAGAGACATGTACTAAAAATGTATGGATGAAATGGTATGATATATGAAATGTACTGCAAAACAATATAGGAAGCTGGGAAAAAAAAAACAAAAAACAAAATGACCATGAGTTGGTAATTGTTGAAACTGGGTGGCAAGTGCATGGGACTCCATTATTACAATTTTGTCTACTTTTGGATATATTTGACATTATCCATAATAAAAAACACAAAACAGAAAAGCATGCTATCATGCTATGGGGAGGGCATTTTGAGATCTGAAATACTGCCATCAATTCATACCTTTGTTACCTAAAATGAGTCATATGTATCACTCACAAAAAATCTGAAAACAGAATTTTCTAACATGTTTCAAAATTTCTCCAATAAAAGAATTTGATATTAAAATATAAAAATATATTTCAAAATAAATTATACTGAAAGGAATTATGCAAATTCCTATTAAATTCCAAATTATGCAAATTCCAG